AGTCTTGTTAATAAATAAGTTGTGACATATTGTATGTGTGTTCAGCGCTCGTCTGTTGCAACTGAAGATAGAGATGTGTATGAAGAGTTACTGACCCAGCAGGAGATCCAGAGCAGTGTAGACCTTGTGAACAGTAAGTGTGGGACATTTTTTGTTAAATATAATACTAAAATTAAACATTTTAGTTTTATTTTAGTTTTAAAAGTTTAAAAAAGTTCAAACAAATCAAAGTTAATGACTTTAAATTTAGGTGGAATATTTAAAATTCAACACTATTTTAAATATTCTTTTTACTCAAAACATGTTATACTAACAATATAATTTGCCATAAAATGTTTGCATTTTTATTAGCAGTGTTATTTTAGTATTATATATATAATATAGCTTTTAGTTATTTTTAGTAATTTAGTACTTGAAATTAAACTTATTTCGGCTTGTTTGCCAAGGCTACCTTTCTAATTTTTATTTAATATTTTTATTTGATTTTATCTAAGCTTTATTTCCATTACCAAAAATAGTTTTTAATAGTTTTAGTATTAGTTAACAACAACAACAACACTGCTCATTAGTACTCACTGTACTGTATGTTACTTATTTTGGAGCTTACTATTGTTAGCTTTTCATGATTTTAGATAAAGCATAAGAAAGCATGTGGATGCTTTCGGCGAAATACTCATACGAGAATATAACATATTTTTTTTGCTTGTTTGTTTTATTTAATGGATAGTTATTCATGGGATGCCCTGCAATTGATACATACTGTATGGCATAGTAGGCTTCTATGAAAATATTCTTGATTTTTTTCTGAATTGAAAATAATGCTATGTCAATGTTACGTAATAATGATATTCTCTCTCTAGCATCAGCAGCTGTTCAAGAATTAAATCAGGCTCTTGATGCTGAGGATCAGAAAGCCCTACTGGCCAGCCTTAGGTTGCCTGCGCTTGGTATTGTTGGAGTCCTTGATGACAACTCCTGCTTTTACCTGGAGCACTTCACATCCTACAGGGAGCATAAAGTTAAGGTACTAAAGCACACTTTCCATATCAGGTGAAATTACTCTTCAGTCAAATAAGTTTGATGAGCATGTTTATGACATCCGTATGCAGGATGCTGGTGCGGGTGCTCAGCTGGAGAGGGAAGAGATTCAGAGGGTCATCACTTCCTGTAACGAGTTTGCAGAGGCTGAGAAACGAAGTATGTTTCACACACGCATGTACCCTTAACTGGGTGATAATATATAGACTAGAGTAGTGGTTTTCAAACCTGTCCTGGAGGCACCCCTGCCCTGCATCTTTTGCATGTCTCCCTCATCTAACACACCTGATTCAAATCATCAGCTCATTTGTAGAGACTGCAAGACCTGATTTGGGTGTGTCTAAGGCTGCGTTTACACTTGGCATTAACATGCGACCTGTTTCCGGATGTTGTCCACATACACATTGAAAAGACGGAGTGTAAACGCTCTCAGACACACAATCTCAGTGTAATGTAAACGCAATCCAGCCATCGTGTCTGCATTCGCAGGTCGACATAACGCAAAACGCCGACCACTCATACACATTGAAAAGACGGAGTGTAAACGCTCTCAGACACACAATCTCAGTGTAATGTAAACGCAATCCAGCCATCGTGTCTGCATTCGCAGGTCGACATCACGCAAAACGCCGCCCCCTCTCTCCCGATCTGTCGGAAGAACAGAGCGCTAGTGAGACTCGTACATTTATTTTGATTTGTAAAATGTCCCGCGACTGAAAATAGTTTTCAAAAGAAAACCCACCACTTCAGGTCGACTTTGCACCGCAGACTTATTTAAATATTGCGCGGGAAATACAGATCCGATCGGTTATCCAGATTGAGAAGTCAGCTGATGTTGCCAAGTGTAAACGCACCGTGTTCTGATTGACTGATGATCCGATCTGCTTGATCAGATCACGGTGATCGCATGTTAATGCCAAGTGTAAACACAGCCTAATAAGGGAGACATGCTAAATGTGCAGGGCAGGGGTGCCTCCAGGACAGGTTTGAAAACCACTGGACTAGAGTATAATGTAGATCTGCAGATCTTCTCAATCTTCTGTAGATATAAAGCTCTGTATTTCATACTTTCTCATTCAAAATCAACCACTACACATGAATTTAGACATCACAACATTATAATGTACAATATGAAAAAAATACTCATTTTGAGATTTTCTAAACATTTAACAGTTAATAAAGTAATAAGAAATAAAAGTAAAAAAATATATATATTAAAAGTGTTTTTAAAGATTCAGTGAACATTAGATGATGCCAAAGTTAAATGTTAAAATAAGGAATATGAGCGTAATATATAGCCAATGTCGACCGATACAGATCATTTAAAAAACAGTAAAAGTTGTAGTACAAAAGTTGAAGTAAAAGTTTATATTGTATTTCCCTATTCAGTATGAGCCTGCATGATTGTTCTGTTTGTTTTTCTGCTACTACTGATTATTGTGCTCTTGATGGACACAGAGCAGGAGGCGGTTGTTGCGATCAATGCGGCTATTCGCCAAGGAGTTCCAGAAGAGACCGTGGAGGCACTTCTGAACCCAGAGGCCCAGTTACCCATCGTTTACCACACTGCTGCCAGCCTCTACCAGGCCGAGCTCTTCAGCCTCCAGCTCAGCTGTCAGGTCTGCTCTCTTGCTCTCTTATTCCATGTGTAGCTCTTTCTTGTCTCTACTTACAAAACTAGTTTTGATTGTTTACCATCTCAGAACAAGGCTGGTCTTACTCATGAGGAGCTGTGTGTAGCTGTGGAGATGCTGTCTGCTGTGTCTGTGTTAAATGAGGTGCTGGACACTAAAGACTCTGTGGCTGTTATTGAGCAGCTCAGTGACTCTCCACTGGGCTTCAGTGGTCTGGATGCTGACAATTTACAGAGGTATAGTCATACTACTGACTGAAAAAGGGAGAGGTGCCACACTATATGGCACACTAAGAAGCAGTTTAGTAATTTACTTCATCATGTGGTTGTTTTGCTTTGTTAGATATGCAGACACACTGATCCGTCTCAGAGCTGAGTCCCTCACCCAGGATCAAGAGTTCCTCACCTGGAATGATGTTCAGAAATGCATCGACACTGTCAATGTCCAGGTGCACGAGGAACATGAGAGTAAGCAAACTTTGAAATAAATTGTACAATACCATTCAAAGGATTGTGGTCACTGTTCAGTAAGATTTTTTTAAAGAGATTAACACTTTTATTCAGCAAGGATGTTCAAAAGTGCTCAAAATTGACAGTAAAGACATTTATAATGTTACAAAAGATTTCTATTTCACAAAAAATGCAGTTCTTTTTCTATTCGTCAAAGAATCCTGAAATAATGTATCACAGTTTCCACAAAAATATTACAAGGCACATCTGTTTTCAACACTGACAACAATAAGAATGTTTCTTGGATACAGAATATTGATTTAATATCATCAGTATATCAGAATGATTATGTGACATCAGGCTGCTGAAAATTCAGCTTTGCCATTTTGGGAATAAATTACATTTTAAAATATATGAAAATAGAAAACAGTTATCTTAAATTGTAATAATATTTCACAATATTTCTGTTTTTACTGTATTTTAATCAAATAAATGTAGCCTTGGTAAACATAAGAGACTTATTGAGAAAAAATCTTATTGACCACAAACTTTTGAATAGTAGTGTAAATTTCAAAATGATCACCACAGAAGTTGGAAATGGAAGTATTTCCATAGCTTTTTTCCTTTCAAAATGTATTCAGTTTTAATGCATTTAACTCTTCTAAAAGAAGAAAAGACAAAAATATATTCTTATATGTAAAAGTAAATTTTTTATTATTATTATATTATACTTAAATGTATTATACTTACATGTATTATACTTATATTTGCATTAAGTCATTTAGCAGAATTTATATGTAATGTAATAAACAAAATATAGTGCCCATGGCAGACTTGGTGGCCTTCTCAGTAATGATGTGTTTCACTCATAGATGGTCTTTCAAATACAATGAACTTTGAAGATTATTCAATTCTACCATACAAAGAAAGACTTTTTTTTAGAGAAATTGAAGCCATAATGTGTATGAATCGAACTTCATTTATCCAATCTGTAGAAATCACACAGAACAGTTTTATTGAACATTTAAAGAATCTCATGGGCTTTGATCAACATTCAATTATAATATAAAACGTTATATATGATCGTGTAACAACATGTTTGTTAATGTATAAACAACAAATTTAGGGCATTTTTGTCAATTTCTTAATCAATAGCAATATTCCATTGAATGAGTTGTTGAGCACATAAAATTCCAATGTTCCCTGTGTAGGAGTCATTGCTATCGCTGAGATCAACGAAGCCCTAAATTCTGGAGATCCAGAGAAGACACTCGCCGCCCTCCTACTCCCTACAGCTAAACTACAGGGAGTCAATCCAGCCAACGCCAAACACTATCACGATCTACTGCTGACCACCAAAGACCTCATCTGCAAGGTGAAACAGAATAACAGTGCTGAACCAATGAAATGTCTAAGAGGTTACATCTCTTATTTCAGATATCCTTTCTTATCCAAATTACTTGGACACTTTTTACTCAACACTCAACTTTCCTGCTCTCAAAGATTTTGTATTCAGCTTGACTTTTATGTTCACAGCTTGAGTGTGAGATTCCAACTTCTTTCACTTCTGTACAAAGTTAGGAGCCTCTTCTAAAGTAAAAAGTGGGAAGTCCAACCATAACATCCTCAACCCACTGTTAAGCCATTTTAGATAAGGAAGCCATTCTCCCAGTACACAACAAAAAACATCCTGGTATTTAAAAGGACTCAGCTCGTGGGCAAAACCTTCAAAGCTCTGGAGCTAAAGGATCTAAATTTGACTTGGGAAGTTGAAGTCTTTGTGAGGAGATATGAGAGGAAGGGGTCCAGACAGCTGTGGAAAGAACACAGACATACAGCTGCTCTGTAGTAATAATACAAGTCATACTGCTGCTGAGTGTACAGCTTCACATATTGTGGAAAAAGAAGTGCATTACATGGGGCAAAGCACACTAGAAAGATCCCAAACACCAAAGTGCTGGCCTTCATGTACTGTTTCCAGTCATGACTGGAACGATTTAGATGGTAGATGATAGATCCATAAACAAATGTGATGACCAGCGATGGCAGGATGAACCCCAGGCAGATCAGACTCAATCTGTATGGAATCAAAGCTCGGTTGGAAGCTTTTTCATAGGACTGGATATCATGACACGTCACCTGCTCTTGCCCAAGAACACGGTAGCTTTGCTGAACCAGAAACTCAGGTGTCATCGCAATAGCAAAAACCATCCAAATGGATAAGCTGGTGAAGATTGCGTAGTACGTTTTCAGCATTGTCCTGTAGAGGAACGGGTGGACCACCGCAAGGTAGCGCATCACACTAATACACATGTGGGCATGGACCGAGCAGTAGATGTTCCCATAAAAGCAGGCAGTCACCATCTTGCAGGCGAACTCTCCAAAGATCCAGTTATTGTTACTGAGGTGATAGTGGACTCTGAGTGTGAGAGAAAGTAGCAAGAGAAGGTCTGACACTGCTAGGCTAAAATATAGGATACAACTGGAAAGATTCTTTCTTCTGCTAAGGCAGGCTAACACAAAGACATTAGAGGGGATCCCGATGAGGATGGCTAGGATATACGCAGATGGAATGATCCTAGTGCTGACAATTCCAGTGGTGTGATTGATGATGTTAGCACTGACATTTATCACCGGCTCCTGGAAGGATGAGTTGGAGAACTGTGAGCCGTTAAACACTATTTTTCCAGGATATGTTTTTGGCTGAAGTGATTTGTTTGGTACTAAAAAAAATGTTAGAAAACAATGTTAAAGGACTGGTATAAAGTGTATTCTTACAGTAAATAATTATATTTCACACAGTTTGATACTGAAAATGTGGTTACATTTAAACTGAAGTGAATATATTCCACAGAAATTATTAGATAGGATAATAATTAATAGCAGACAAGGCTTCAAAACAAGTTATAGTCAATTTGTGTAGTCAATAATAAGATAAACAATAATAATAATAATAACATTACACATTTAATGCTAAATGTGTATTTTTGTTATTTTATTATCTTGAAAAATCTGGAAAACATTGAATTGAATTTGAAATTTGAAGTGACCTAATAATTTAAAACCTGTTGAACAAACAGTTTTTGAAATTAAATAACGGCTGTTTGGTTTTAGTTTTGAATATTATAGGCACAGATGTTCCAGATTAAGAACACATGACAAACATTTTTCAAGGTTAATAATTCATTTAAATGGTTACATTTTGAATTCTGTAATATTATATTTACTTTCTACATTTAATTTATTTTAGTGCATTATTTTGGGGTAATGTAGTGATATTTGTTGCTTGCGTTCTGTCTCTTGACTCTATTCGTTGTTCTTTCAGCAGTGTATAACCACCCAAAATTCTCATAAACTCACCATCATTATGTTGCTAGATTTTGACACATTGTATTTAGAGAATAATTAGTTTTGGGTGATTGTAAATGTTGATCTAGTGACTTTTAATTATTATAGACTGCTACAGTAACTCTGACTGAAAGAGTCAAGTCACTGGGGAAATTAAAGTCAACTACCCTAAAGATTTCTTTGTCACAAAATCTTGATCCACATCTCTACAGCATAGAAATCAGCTGTTGATCTCTAACTATCTTTGTCTGTGAGAGAAAAGTTGTTGGCTTACCTGAATCTTGAAGTGAGTCCTCTAACATTAATGGTAATAGCAGCAGCACAAAAACTCTCCACATGTTTGCAAGGTTTTTCCAGTTAATTTTTACAAGCTATTGTTCATCAAACTAGATATGAACTACAAGTGACTCCTTTGAGGATCACTCTCTAGACAAATAACTGTCAAGTTAGAAGTTTACATCGAAGGGCGTGATGCGTTGCTGGTTTCCTGGCAAGGGCTTAGGGAGTCTGGAGTCAGAATAGCTCAGTGCTCATGTGTCAGGCATGTCAGGAAATGTTGTGTGACGAAAGACTTCCTCCAAATGCAATTCACGGACCAAACTATTTACAAACCTTTGTCCACAAACAGTTCATACATTGCATACAGGATTGTTTAATGGTATTTTGGAAATGTCTCTGGCCACAAGTCCTTTATTGGATGTGTCCCTGTCATTTTCTTTATCTTTCTTTCTTTCTTTCTCTTTCTTCAGATCTTCTCCCTTCAGATAAAGAAAACGGTATTAGATTTTTGCCCAAAGAAACACTTCCTGTTTAACCAGTGATAGTTGCACAGAATGTCTCCCACCTTTACTCGATTTAGTTGCTTACATTCAGAGTAAATTGGTCTGTAGTTGATTTGTTGCAGATGATTTGTTTGCCCTGTGACAGTGTGTTCAGTTACACTTGTTTGTATGGCGCATGTGCTGATTGTGTGTTGTGCTGTAACAGAGCTCTGGAGATGAATCTGCTGTGCTGTGGCTGGACCAGATCCAGGAGGCCGTGCACACTGCCAACCGGGACCAGGAGGGCGCACTCAAATGTAAGTGTGTAACCAAATATAAGCTGCATGAAAGCTGTGTGATTAGCTTTTCTGTTCAGTCTAATCATTTCTTATACACATCCCTATAAAGGATGTGTATTGATACATATGATCCACATAACAGCCTATGACCTTTCAAGTCTGAGTTTGATATTTAAACTCTGTTGTACAATACTTACAGACTGCAGTAAAAATATGTAAACATTATGTATTTACGATATACTATATATATATATATATATATATATATATATATACAAAATACACAAAACAAAAAGTAGGTTTTACGTTATGATTATGTAAAGTGTGTGTAAAAGTATGTTGCGTATGTGTATGTTTCTATCTTATATTTCTAAATATATATATATAAAACAGAAGGCTTGTCTAAGGTGAAGAGAGGAGAAAAAGGGAAGAGTAAACATACAGTACATACAGAACCATACATACTGTATATACCCTTATACACTAGATATATATTAATAGTAATAATAACAGGTATTATGGAAATAAGAGTAATCAGATAAATGGAAGGGATGTAAGGAGAAAAGAAATGATTGTGAAAGAAATAAGAAAGAAGAGAGGAAGAGAAATTGATGAATTGTGGGGAAAAAAATGCACCAAGGTGGTATGGGGCGGCCTCTATTCAGGGGCATCATGGGTATAAACTGACAAATCTGTCAGATTACAAAATGCATGTAGAAGATTGTGTACAACAGGTTTTTCAGTAAAGTTTTGATCATATTGATAATTCAGAGGCATTAGAAATTTGTGTATCAAATATGATACAGTAGGCCTCACAGGGTTAAAAGTTATGTGAAAAAATGATTCTGTGTATTACGTGTATGATTTCAGTGGCTGAGGCAGTAGCAGACATTAACAGGGCAGTATCTGAGGGAGATGCTAAGGCCACACTAGCTGCTCTGCAGTGTCCTGATGCAGGTCTTCGAGCGGTGCTGTCTGAATGTGCTCATGTCTACCACAGCCAGCTCTCTCACTTACAGAGCACTCAAACAGAGCAAGGTAACTCTATCTCAGCCCTGATGACTGGGATCTGGAAAACATTAACTTACCTGCCTTACTCTTGAAGAATTTCTTGTCATTATCATTGACAATCCTAATAGTGTAAAATATGTAAATTTTTTGCCTGTTTAATTTAATACATTGTTAAATAATAGTTGTAAATGGTCCACAGACCTTTCAAATATCATCTAAAACATTTACTGATTCATTTGATTTCAGACAGAGACAAATGCATATGTCTAGAGCTCCTGTGAAGAATTACTTATTTATGAAGAATAGCTTTAATTTCATTATTCTGTAGGAACCAGTGGCAGTTCATGGGTGAAACACAAGATCAAGTATAAATATGACTACTTCTACAACATTGAAAGCAAGGAAGGGACATGGCTTGAGCCAGATCATTTTGTCCATGACAGTTCACAGCTAACCACAGAAGATATTCAGGTATGTCTTCAGCACAAATATACATTTACAGTTTTTAGTGTTGAATTAAATTACTGTATGTGAGCTCTGTTGTTCAGTTCATGTTTTCTTTTCCCCCCTCTCTAGAGTGTTTTGAGCAGTGTAACAGCAGAGTATAACAGAGAGCAGCTGTGGTTGGCCAATGAGCCGCTCATCATCCAGCTGCAGGCCCTGATCCGTGGATACCTGGTGAGACAGGCACATAATGTCAGGTTGGAGTACCTGCGAAAGCAAGAGCCGAGCATCATCAGACTGCAGGTGCTTAACTGTTTAATGTGAAGGAGTGATACTTGTATACCAGACCACTAACAGCCTTGTGATTTGTTGTAATTTACATTTTATTATATGTTATTACTATCATTAACTCTTATTTAATCAAGTTCTTATTTAAGAAAAGGTATGTATAATTTTATAAGCTCTAAGATTTAAAATTGTTCAATTGTTTAGCATAAAAATAAAAAAAATCTTATTTTAATTATTATTTTATAATATTATTTATATAATTTTTTTTTAATTATATAAAGACAACAATAATAGTGAGTATTTTCATAGTTTTTGTAATATGACCTTTTAACTTTACACATCAAAAGGATGTAAATCTAAATGATTAACTCTTCTGTTAACTCTAAAACATAATAAAATTAGCAATGACAATGAAATATCAACATTATACAATGAAAGTACTGACTGTTTAGTAACCATTTTGGCTAAACTCTAGTGCTGTATTGTTTTCTTTACAACTCAGTTCAAAAGAAAATAAACTACCAAAATTCTCTAGAGTCTAGAAACAAATATGTGATTTGTGGTTTATGATTACAGGCATCCTGGAAGGGCTACAAACAGAGAAGAGTCTATAAGGACAAACTAAAGGCCTTCCAAGACAGTGTGAGCAGTGTGATTAAGGTAATGGTCCTATCCCTGATGCTCATTTATTACAGTATTTCATCATCTTTTTCCTTGTTGCTTTGAAGTGCAATATTCATAGTATGAAAATATGTTTCCATTATAATTTAGTTACAGTCAGTGGTGAAGATGTGGAAAGCTAAACGAAGCTACACAAGGAGACTGCAGTACTTCAAAGACCATGTAAGTCACACACAAGCTGATAAACTGATACAAACGAGCAGCATCTTCATCAGTTATACTCATGAAAATGGCATATTCTGTGTGTCATGCTTAGGAGAAAGAAATAGTGAAGATTCAAGCTTACCTAAAGGCTAACAAAGCAAGAGTTGACTACAGAACCTTAAGTAAGTCAATAGCATTACATTATATTTACTGTATTAATTAGTTTACATTTACTAACATAGTTGTTAATTGGTTTGCAAGGTAAAGATGATTGTGGTTTTCATGTTTTTCAAACAGCCAGTTCTCAGCACCCACCTCTCGCAGTGGTCCGTAAATTTGTACATTTACTGGAACAAAGTAGCCTCGATTTACAGGAGGAACAGGAAGTGACGCGGCTCAGAGAGGAAGTGGTCACCAAGATTCGTGCTAATCAGCAAATGGAAAAGGATCTGAATTTGATGGATATTAAGATTGGCCTGTTAGTGAAAAACAGGATCACACTGCAGGTTAGATGCAGTTTGCTTACAGTGCTTTCATGCAGTGATTTTAAATGATCCATAAAGCTTAACAATCTCTTTGAATTGCTTGTTGGGTATACTATGGTTTAATGAGATAATGTTACATTATCCTTTGATGTGCGTAGGTTTCTGTGTTTCCATGTTGTAAAATTCTACTGGAAAGCAAACACACATCACTGATAGAGAAAACAACAACACCATATTTGTTTTCTTTGGAGTCTCATGAGAGTAGAAGCAGCTACAGATGTCCACACCAGTCGAGTATGACCCTTGACCCATTCTAATTTTTCCAACTACTGCTATGTTGTCTCCTCTGGTAGGATGTAGTGTCACACAGCAAAAAGATGAAGAGCAAAAAGAACAAAATGAGTAAAGAAGATCTGGCCACTGGGGAAAAGCAGGGCATCAAGGGCCTGAGCAAAGAGAAGAGGAAGAAACTAGAGGCCTATCAGCATCTCTTCTACCTTCTACAAGTGAGATAACAAACTCTGGCACAAATTTAGCTTGCAGCTGACCAAAGGATTTAATGGAATATTCCAATTAAATTTTGCTCTGATTGCCACAGGAAATACATTTTAATTGTTCATAAAAAATAACACCATTAAAAAAAAAACATTTCTTAATATGATATATAAATAAAGAGTATTTCAGTATAATTTATCAAATATATATAATTATATATTTTAAAATATATAATTTACAAATCTTTTATGCATTTACATTTTCAGTTAGATTTTTTATTCAATGAGTTTTCTTCATTTAACAGACCAATCCTTCATACCTGGCCAAGCTAATCTTCCAGATGCCCCAGAACAAATCCACCAAGTTCATGGACACTGTGATCTTCACGTTGTATAACTATGCATCAAACCAGCGGGAAGAGTACTTGCTGCTCAAACTTTTTGAGTCAGCCTTGCGAGAAGAGATCAAGTAAGATATATCTTAGAGATCTTATCTTAGAGATAGGGATACTGTTTGTTAGCTCGAGCATGCAAAAACAACACTGTTTTGTAGGGACCACTCTACCTCTGAATTCATAATTAATGCATCAAACCTCAGTCAAATGTCTGTGATACAATATGTCTAAAGTTGTGCTTTATAATATTGATTATGGCACATTGTTACACTGCTTTCATCTTTGGCAGATCTAAGGTGGATCATATCCAGGAAATAGTGACAGGGAACCCTACAGTCATTAAGATGGTTTTGAGCTTTTACCGTGGTGCTCGTGGACAGAATGCTCTCAGACAGCTACTAGGCCCTGTGGTTAAAGAGATCATTGAGGACAAGAACCTGGGCATCAACACTAACCCTGTAGACATCTACAAGGCCTGGGTTAATCAGCTAGAGACCGCTACGGGAGAAGC